CGATGGGTATTCCTTCTTGCACTTGAATAAAATGCGACTTACCAGGCGTGAGAAACAATCGTAACATGATGTTTTTTGTGTTTAGAAGGGTTTGCTTTATTGTGTCTCATTATTTCTTACTTAATTGTTTTATGGTAAGGGCACAAAAAAAAAGAACTTACTTGCACGTTGGTGGAAGAGTATCCCTTTCTGCTGCGGTAGACTTCACCATTGGGACGGACCACCAGGCCCCTTAATTCAATGCACCCGGTCACGCTAGGGAAGTCCTTCAGCGCGTGCAGCTCTGCCATCGCACGATCAAAGTCCGTCGCGCTGTTGGGGAACTTCACGAGACGTCGGGACAGGGTGCCGGCGATGAGTCGCGACACCCGCTCGACAACCAGACACACTGTTGGCTGCGAGACGTTGTCGAGGTTGCCGGTGACGACCTGGAATGTTCCATTGCCATAGAATCGCAGCTCGATTAGAAGTTGGAGCATTGGAGGGACCGGCAGATCACAGTTGCTCGCTCACTCCTCCAGCGACAAGGACTCGAGGCTTGCCACTATGGCTTTGGTGAAGCGGTAGCCCGCGAGAAATTCGCGATCGTTGAACACCTCCATAGGGTTCAGCCGGTTCCTCAAACGACGCCGCGGCACTTTGACTTTTTGATCTCCACGATCGTAGAGGAATTCGTCGGTTCTCAAGACGAAGTCGACGAACTCGCGGAACGATCTGTCGGCTGCCACTACCCCCGGGGACCGCCTCGAATTTCGAGGAGCGGCTCGAGGAAGCGCAGGAGATAGCTTGAGATTCTCGACGAAAGAGTCGATTGTGATTGCCTGGAGCTGTGAAACGCTTGTGAGAGATTTCACAAGCATCTCATATGAAAGAGTAAAGTATTTTCTCGATCCGAGGAGCGTTGGAGTGAAGGTCGGTTTATGAAGCGAATAACCGGCCAAGAGTGGATTTTCGAGTTGCGTTTGATTCGAGTTTGATTCGAGGCCCGTTTATGAATTCGGCTGGTTGTTCTACGTCAAAAACTATTATTTTGTGTGGCATATGAAATGTCGGCACGACATTGTTAACACGGAGATGGCGCGGCGATTAGCGTTGGATGTTGCGCTAAGCCGAATAAAGACGGCGCGGATTCTTTTCGATAAAAGAGCAGACAAACTGGCACTACAACTACTTTTAAAGGGCACCTCGGGTTGCCCGAGAGCTTCCGCTGAGGAAGGTTAAGTGGCGCGACGTTTCGCAGTCGCCGGCTTGTATCTCAAATCAAATGACTGCTCATTCAGGCTACGTGATTCGCTCCTCAGGGTACACTGCTTTTCGAGTGCCTGCTTTCTTTCACGAAGTAGATGTTTGAACATATTGAAAACACTTATGAAAGCTCTTGAGCTTTAACCATTTGTCGGAATTTCGTTTTGCATACGGGTAACAAATGAGCACCGAACACTGGACTTCGTTAAGCAATGCTCTCTTCATGAAATGCTGCAGAGAACCGCTCCTCGAAACGACGCCTCTCACAGGCTGCAGATACTTCGTTAAAAACAAAATACACAGAAATACAGAAACATCTGATGGAAGTGAACTTCGGTGAGAACTCAAGCCACTATCAGTCACTTTAGGGACGGAATAAAATTTACCGAATCAGTACACTCTAGTGCAATGTTGTGGCCAGGGGTTGGAGCGAAAAAAGTTCTGTGAATAAAAAAAAAAAAAAAAAAAACTTATTCACGGCAATTGCACTAAAGTTTGATCAGTTTTGTACGCATTTAAGGTTGTTCTTTTATAAATGTTCCTTCCTTTTCAGGAATTTTGTTCTTCAGAATGGAGCATAGTAATGTTTTTTTATATGTTACGATGAATCACATCGTACGCTACAAGCCATTCCAACCAATCGAGAACTGCGAAAGTATCACGTGACTTTATGAGTCCCGCAGATCGCTGCTACCCTTTCAAAGGGTCACGTGACACGTACGCAGCATTTGGTGGGTTCCAATGGCTCGTTGTCATCTGCAGTCCGTCTTTTTGTAAGAGGGAATGTAATTGATGCCAATTGGGAGTACTAATTCAACATAAATATGTACATACACGTGTAAAATATGTGACAAGAATTGAAACAAAATTCAGTATATCGAGAATGGTACTATAGTCTTAGTCAAAAACGAATAAAAAGCACACGTGTATTGGCAAGGTTTCGAAGAAATAAAAAAAAAAAAAGAAGAAAAGCAGCAGCAAATTTTATACCGTTCTTTTCTCGGTAAAGGCGTGCCACACCCATGATCTTCGGCTTGTGTCAAGTGGATTTCAAAATAGGAAGTATGGCTACGTGTCTCAAACAGAGAGGCGGTTCAAAAGGGAGCCTGAAACAGAGGAGAGTTAGAGACGCATCAGTTCTAATGGCCCTCCCGTACCCAGTTTTGTTCGCTTGCATCGCCATTGCTTGTGCCTGGCAGGCATAAACGACCATAAGAAACCTGGAAAACACCCAGTTGCTTAACGATCTCAAATACAGACAACTCCAAAACGCATAAAAACTATGTTATTAAAAAAACAAACTAGCAGAGGTGGAAGATAAGACAAATATTTCAACATCGTACTGGTTCTAATTTTATTTTGTTCTGATACAGCTTTTGGGGCATCGGATTTTAACTTTAAAGATGCTGAATTCGTGTTCTATGTAGTGTCCGATGAATTTTGTAGTGTTTGATTTAAACAAAATTACAAAACAAATATTTTCGGGAACTTTGTATGAGACGTATATTCGGCTGAAGCCTTTTTAAGTGATAGAGTCTCTCGTGAACTGTCTTAGGAGCGACAAAAAAGATGTAGTGGGCATAGTAAATTTTTAACGTTGGACCGAACCTCTCTCAGCAGAGTGATTAAACGTTTTTTTTTTCTTGGATATATTTGTCCCGCAAGGCGTACAGAAGAGAGTGGTGCCCAGTGTGAGAAGACAGAATTGTTCTTGCCTCGTCTCTTAGTTCAAAATAACATTTTTGTTCGATTTGTTTTTGTGTGGCTATCATCCGTGTCGCTTTTAAGAAGCTTACGATAATAAGGCCAAAACAGTAGGCTTAAGCTTTCACTTAAATTTATATTTAAATGAACAGTTTTGGTTTTTGTATACGCTTATATCTCTGCCGTGAATGCGGAATGAAAATTCTGCTCGCCGAAGATGATGTTTCATAGAAAGTTTTTCTTACTTGTTCCACTAAGTATACCACTGAGCTGCACGGGACTACTTCACACAGCCTGAATCTGAGTGTGAGATTTCATTCGGTCTCTTCTTTTCTTTTGCAGGAAAGATTAAATAATATTAAATATATGGTAGCCAATGTGGCGGTTTCAGTTTGAGAGGCAGCAAGACGCAGCGTCCGAGAAAACTGCTTGGCGCCATTAGGTCCCGTCTTGCTTGTATTCAAATGGTCAGACAGGTCCGGGAGTCTACTTCCCCGCTGTGCATTCGGTGAGCGCAACGTCAATAAGTAAAAAAAACAAACCTAGGCGAATGTAGAGGCAAACAGACATAAAGCATGGAAATATGTAATTTCATCATTATAGTTACCTAACGTAGAAGATACCAAGCGAAAGTTGCACCCATCTAAAGCTAAGCGTAGATGTCCGATTCTGATAATGGAGTATAAAAATGTGGTGGACTACAATAGCTCAGGTGCACCGAAATTAAATTCCCTCACAAATTGAAGTTTTCAAAATGTGTTGTTCACTGTCAAGGTTTAAGAACTTTAAGATACATAAAACGGACGTAATAGAGATACATATCTCTGACTAAGAGATACGTTCTAGGATTAACCGACTAGCATAATAAAATCAATGTTTCTCAACTTTAAAACCCTTTTATGGTGTTACTTCGCGCAAGATCGATGCAGACGATAGTGCAGCACATGTGGAGTTAACCTTATACGACGTGGAAGAAAACTAAAATTAATATTTTATCAGTTGCACAAAAATGTGCTGGTTTTTTTCCTCGAAATGATGTGTACGTTGCGTCTTTTTCAAACTTTTTTTTTAAATATATACATTTAGGATATTTTTAGTTTTTTTGCTGCGGACAAGACTTGGATATACTTCGAATATGTTAATAAGAATAATCTATAGCCACAGACAAAATGAGAAGGGGACCAACGTCCGGCTTTCAGCAGGCGCTCCATGCCTTGCGTGTTCCTTTGGGGGAGCGCGCGCGCTCGGGGTGCACGGGCGCCAAAACGTTGTGTATAATAGGAAGCTTGCGCTGGAGGCGGACAACCAAAGCTCCTCCCTGACATTTTCACCCTGTCAATCACTATAGTTATGCTCACGTCTATGAAGTTCGTTAGGTATAATCATTTTAGGATTATGGAACACGCCTATCAATTTGAATTACTCGGGAGTCTGTTCAGTTCCACACTTATCTACGTTTGTTCTTGTATAAACGTTTCTTCGCTATCAAGATTTATGCAAAATAGCGCATATTGTAAAGCCTTTATGCTACCTTAGGACAACCCGCAGCGGCCGCCGCAAGCCCTACCAACCAATCGAGCGCGGCGAAAGTATCACGTGACCATACGCACCCCGCTCGTCACTCTACCCTCCCCGAAGCTGGCGTGACGCTCACGTGGCATTTGGTTGGATTCGATGCCTCGTCGTTGTCGTTCGTGGTTCGATTGGCGTTGGGAATAAGCAAAAACTTATACGAACACGTGTTGAACGTGTGGCTTGAATTCCAACAGCATTAAATTGACTGCAAACGGTATTATAGTAACCATAGAACAACGACAACGCACGTGTGTGCGCAAGGTTTCGAAAAAATGAACAGCGAAATCGGGCACCAAAAAACAAGCGGCAACATTCGGTTTGCTTCTTTTTAGAAGAAGTCGTGCCACACCCGCGATCTTGGAATGGTTGGATGTGGATTTTGAAATAATAAGTACGCTTACGTATCTCATGTATAAAGGTGGTTCAAAAGGGATCTCGTAACGGCGGCAAGTGTGAGTTGCATCAGTTGCGTTGCAATGGGTCTCATGTACGCAGCTTTGTTCGCTTGTATCGCCACTGCTAGTACCTGGCAGGCGCAAATGACCATAAGGAATCCGGAAAACAACCCGTTACTTAACGAACCTAGCCTTGGACCTCTCCAAAGCGCCTGGAAGGTACGTGATCAACGAAATATATAGGTGTGGGAGATAACACTTATTTTTCGAATGACTTAAATGTTTGAGATAAAATTCACACGGCCCACATTATACTGATGGACAACCACTGCAGGTTGTGGCGTTCTTACTTTAAATAATGCTGTATTTGTGCTTTGTGTATATTCCAGTGATTGTTGTTACAGTTTTACACACAATGCACATAAAGAACATTTACTTAAACCCTTCATGACAACCAATTTTGTGCTGAAGCCTTCCGACTTGCTTTGTCCTTGGAGAGGCGGCTTGGAGTAACAAAAAATGAGTGGCAACAGCAAAGTTCCTAAAAAAAACTCTCTGAGTGGAGTGTTTAATAAAATATACGCTCTAGCCGTTTTTTCTGCCCTGAAGGTTTCAGAGAATGACTTGGGATGAGTGTGTAATGAGCTACATCGGCTGTCTCAGTTTGGAGGAAAGGCTGCTCTGGTTTCTGCCTGCCAACTGACTACTCTTTGCAGGGAATTGTTTTGTGCCGGGAAACTCCGTCCCCTTCTTTGTTTACCTTCCTCAGGGTGGACATGATATTGCCACGCGCGTCGGCGAGCGAACCCGAGCGTGGGTGGGTGATTCGCGCGCTTGACTTTCATGCGGAGGCCCAGGGTTCGATTCCTGGTAGTCACACGTCTTTAATTATTTCTTTTAGTTTAACGTTCTGGTAAATTCTAGAACCATGTTGGGCTTGTTCGAGGTCCAAATGTTGTACGCGCCGAACCTTCTACGCCGATTGTTCCAGAAGTTAAAGCGTGTCTATAAGGGGCTCCGCGTGGCGAGCTGGAGTTATGTTAGTCTTGCCCCAGCGCTCGGTCCTGCTGTTTTGCCGACATCGACGTCTGCGACGCTTGCCGTTCTCTATTTTGTTTTGGGCAAAAGTTCGCCCCATTCAAACGTTTAGTTTCTTCAGTTATTCGCCGCCTTATCATTTTTCATTCGTGACAATATATTGTTTTTTGCTGCCTGCGTATGGGCTGAAATATTGCAAGTCTCTTTTAAGGATGCTATGACAACATAAAAAACGGTCATTATGGCCGATTTTTTAGCGCGCAACATTGTGCACTGCTGATTTTTAACTGGAATAAATAACTTTTATTTTGTTTTTCTAATTTGAAAAACCTATAAATTTTGCACAATTCAGAAGCTCATTCTCACGAAAATGCTTAAGATAAAAATATATACAGCTTAGATGTGCTCATAACAGTGAAATATAAAGTAAAGTGTTTCAGACACGCAGGAAAAGTGTTAGGAACAATGTTCGTTTTAATGTATTTAATAACTACTGTTTAATAATAATAATAAGAAAAAACTAATACGTTTCTTGCAATAAATATTAAGGAATTATATAAAATAATATATATCGTTTGATTTTGAGAGATCGGAGTAAGTGTATATATTTTCCACTTCTTCGAATAGGTTGCTATTGGCGCAATCACATTTTTGATGTAATAGAGCCAAAACAAAATCAGACATTCTATTGTATCCGTTTGGTTTCGGCTTTGGAAGCTTCTCCTTCTTTTATGAGCAGGCATGTCGCCATAAATGGCGTTATTACTCGAGCAGGGAAACGAAGAACGCAACGATAAGGGAACATTGTAATATCAATGACTGGGTTTTTGGAAATATTTCTGCGAGCTCTACACCCTCTGGAGCATGTATAAGTTACTGTAAAAAACTTTAAAAAAAAGTGTTTCGGGAGTTATTGATTTGCTAAGAGGGGTTGAAGTTTCATAAATCTATTATTCTATTTTGTGGTTCCAAATGCGTGGTTGTGCAGTGTATTATTACAGCAGACGGCGTTGAAACAAACGTGACAAACAGAAATGTACGTTGCATTGCTTACTTTGGGCATACATCGCTTGCGCATACGATTGGTGTTTTTTCTCAACAAATTAAAGCCCATGGCGCGCATCAGTTTAAGGGGAGGGGGGTGCAACGATTTTGAGATCAAAAGAATTTGCATCTCGTCATTTTTACGTTGTTTATTGTGTCCCGCAGGATAGAGAAAGCATATAGTTAAAAAAAAAAAATGTCGCGATTCCGCTTCATACTCTCAAAGCAAAAGTCGAGCTTTTTCTCCCATCGGCAGCCCTGAGTGGCAGCCGAAGGAACTACGGTGAGAAGCTTACGTGACCTCGCTCGGCTCTAAGCTGCAGCATAACGCCCGCTAATGTCAGCAGAGAAAGGGAGAGGAAGCCCTCCGAGAAAGCACATTGGAAGCTAAACGACACCCCGAATTTCGTCATTAGGAGGGGGTCCACGTGTGACCCTGAAGACTGGGAGTGAGTTGATGGGTGCCAAAAATGACATGACTTAACTTTTTTGTTTGCACAAGAACTAGGATACGCACGCGAAAACTGTTTTCTGTTCTTTAGTTTAGAACTTTCAGAGGGCAACTTCCTCAAATGTTTGACCTAAGTCCGGAAATCGTTCCACCCCCTTTAAAGTAAAGACAAGTACCAACGCCCCTGTTCTTGCCAGAAAACATTTAATTATAACATTTGAACTGATTTAGCTAGCTTTCCAATGACCTATAATAGTTCAGCGATATACATAATGCTGCAGCGCTCTGTGTGTGTACACCTTCTCTGTCCGTGCCTTTTTTACCCTGTTTTTACCGTTTTAAAACGCAACACCAACTAGCCCAACTCACTACTGTACTGCAGGGCAGGTTTAAAAACACGTGAACATCTTGTTGTATCACTGCGTAATAATGTTTCTGCATGCATTTATAGATAATGACACCTAAACACAATTCTAAGGCTGTATTTTCTACTATGATAACAAGAAATGTAATTTTATATCTTCAGGCCATTAATAAATCAAACGATGACCCATTCGTCCTAATGTTTCGTTCAAGAAATCACGAACCAAATATCACTTGTGTCGTAGTAACAGCCAGTCTTCACAATGAGACATTGAAAATTGTCAATTTTACGAGAACATATTATAACAAGACTGAAGGAAAAAAGTAAGTATTGGCAATGAGCGTATGTTTGGTAAAAGTACAAATTTAAAAAAAAAAAAAAAATTACTGAAACATCTGACCTTCTGTCGAACTGGATTCTCGCGCAAAAATGTTTGTTTTTGGAAGACGATGAATCATGACACTGGAAATAAACAGTCCAATTCATGACGACTGTGCGGTTAAGAAAACCAGGTTGAACTCTTAACTGTAACTTAACATTGACTATATTAAAGGGAAAATAATTATTATAATAATTATCTAAATCTCGCGTCGCGTAGTCATAATATCTTCTGTATTACAAATAAAACCTGAGATACGCCACTAGTCAGTGTCACTCATGCGTCTTATAATCTGTGCCCAGCGCGGATAACAGTTTGAGTATCCCTATCCCATCCACATCCGCATACCTTGTACCGTTGTCCAAACTGCATCCGCAAAATGTGAAACCATGTCTATGTTCTTGCTAACCACCAGAGGTTACGACTACATTTAGACTAGCAAAATCAGCGGAAATCACGCCGGCCGCGTTCTTCCCAGCCGCACGCAGAGTCGGAAACTTTCACCTGTGGCCCCTTAACTCTCCCCTGTAGTCTAAACGGCTGAAAAAAGGTCATAAAAAAGAGAAAAAGTTCGGCAAGAGAGGAGGAGAAGCAGTGGTAGCAAGACAAATCCCTTTCTGTGATGTTACTGAGCGTATGCGGCCGCCTCGAGTCTGACGGTGTTTCGTGTCAGCCGGTGGGCAGATGCGCCACTACGTCAGAGTCCAAGGCCTGATGGGATCTACTAACGTGTTGTTCGAGAAAGATCGCGGCCTGCAGGTGCCCAAATATATATATTAAACGAAAAAAAAGATATTTATTGGCTTGGGACGGCTTTGAAGGTTGCACGCGGCAGCCGCTGGCATTGCCGGCGCCCTGGCGTCGTAACCGGACGAATATGAACAACCAGACTTTTGGCTAGAACTCTAAGCACACAAAAAAGAAGCAGGCAATTTAAGGGCTGCCTATGTGCGTACGCCGCTGACTCAAAAACTTTGCAAACCGTGGCGCCACGAGGTCGCGCTCGCTGTCGAAGCACTTCTTTTGTTTTTGGTATCATGACCACACCACTCCCTGCGGAGAGTGGGAGGTGTCTTGTACTTTCTTGTGACTTGTTCGTTTCAGGTTTTCTTTGTCCCGAGAAAGTTTTTCGCTCTTTTCTTGCCAAAGAACTAACTTTCTCGGGACGATTGATACCCTGCATTTTTACTTTTTCGTTTTCTATAGAAAGCATTTTTGACGAGATGAAATACACTAACCGAAGCAATCTTCAGTAAGAATCAGATCTTTTGTTAGGATCCCTATCGTTTCTTTGAAACGCGTTTTGTGGAAATACGTTTCGTGAGCAACTTTTCACGGACATACGTTTCATGGACACACGGTTCGTCGACGCTGTACGTTTTGTGGGCACATGCCCCTGCGACGTTTTGTCGACAACGTATTTCTTAACTAAGCCGCTAAAAGCTATCGCGCGATTGACCAAGGCGTGCTTAACCCAAACCCTGTCCCCCTCCCCCATGTAATCCAGGCGAGACGCAAAAAGATTGTTACGAAAATAGCAGGGTTGTGTGCGACGAAACGTCTCAGGTTTTTCGATGAAACGAACACTAGAAGCCTTTCGATCAAACGTCGCATGTCGACAAAACGACCTGTAGATGAAATGCCAGTCAACGGACCGATTGCCACCGGGCAAAAATTTAGATCCGCATCCGCAGCCCCTGACATTCAGATCCGATCCACAATCCGCCAAAATCCGTCCAATTTTTATCCGCATCCGTCAGTTAACTGCGGATATCTGTGGATATCCGCGGATAATTTGCGGATATGCAGGGCTCTATCTGAGAGTATGTTCATATTAAAATAGAATTGCGTGCTTCTGAAAATAACTCTATTCGTTAATTCTGGCACACGGACACTATCGCGGAAGATTTCATTTCGAGGACGGATTGGTCTGGCATGTGACTGTATTTAGGTGTGTTCGGAAAGCTCCTACATTTAAGATATAAAGAAACAAAACGTTTACACGCGGATATTAGAAAAGCAAAGTTTGTCCGGCATGATAGTCCACATACTCCACGGGAAGCCAAAATAAAATCCGCTATTTCTTCGAATAATGTATTACTGTTGTCAAAAGGCAGTTGAATTAAGCGGACTTATCAGAACGAACCACGACTACGGTGCAGGAACGGCTTCACGCATTGATCATTCATACCTTGTACATTTGATGCATTGAAATGTCCATAAAAATATTTTAATTTCGTCCATAAGAAATATGAAGGAAGAATTCCTATCTCCATTGCTTTTTTTGTAGGTGAAGAATAACGCTACAGAAAAAAGAAATTTATGTGTACCGTTAAAAAAAAAACTTAGGATAACAGGAAGGGGGAGGGGGTGGGGGAGTGCGGGGCATCCTCGCAGAAATAAAACTATTTTTTTAAACTAAACTGTACTTTCATTTTTTATGCAGTTTGTTCCGTTTGTGTTCCGTTCGAATTTCGGCTCGTTTGATTGAAAACATGTTTCAGCCTGATTAGAAGCTGGACTTCTCAACATCGTTACGTTAAACCCTGTGATGCGTGCCTGAGTTTCTCTCCATTGGCGGACTTCTGGGCAAGCTACGGCTGTACAGGCGGCCTCCCCGTGTATCGTCTCTATCAATCGAAATGGGGACGCATACTGTGCCGTTGCAGGAAACAATTTAGCAGACACAGTAAAAACGCGAAGAGCAGTAGTTTCGTAGACGTGTTTGAGGCACCATATTATACATACATTCAAATTAGAATCTAAATAACATTCCGTTTTTACATCAATTAGTTTTGTGCGAGAATCAAAGTATGATATTTTTTCTGTTTCAGCGACACATTAGAGTACCAAGTGAGAGCCTTGAATCAAACCGATTACAAGCTAGAAAATGTTATACGTGCAGGCTTGAAAGGTATGTACCCCTGGAATCTAGGATTCGACATTATTTTACCATAACTGATTTTTTTCTTTCTAATATTTCTAGGCAAATATAAAACAACGCCCCCAAAACATTTCTAACGATTGAATCGGAATGCACTCAGGGGGTTCTCTATTTGTGGGGGGGGGGGGGGGAACGATGCATTCTGGATCACTTATCTTGGCAAAAATTTCTAAAACACATTTCCTGGTTAGCTCATAATTTGACGAAAATCTCAGCAATGATCGATTCATAGTTATAAAGTAGCGGAGTAAAACGAACTATTTACTCCGAACATATTTACAAATTTCTCATTCAGACAATTGTTTCATCTGCTTATTTTACGATCATTTTCACCAGGTAAGGAACAAAGCACTGAAACACTCGAGAAACGAAACACTGTGTGTGAAACACTTTGCTTCCCGGTAAAGATTATGGTTGCGTCACCACGATTCCATATCTAAAAGCGTGTGATTAAGTACATTTTACTTGTCTCTGGTTTCGCCCTTCGTAGAGTCACGTGTGTGAATTTTTAGGTGACGTCTCAATGGGTAATCGTTGTGGGTGTCGTTGATAGTTTCGGTGTTCAACCACCTTCACAACGTGGATTGGAGCCACATTTTTTGGGAGGCGAGAAATCATATCAAATGTTAACCAAAAATAAAGCAAAAACAGCATCTTTCTAGTACTCGCATGCAATGGTTCAAATTAAAAACAAATTTAGGCTTCTAACAGATTTAAAGCAGAAGGATCTTGTATACTGATGGTAATTATGAGCATATTAAGATAAATATAATTTGAAGACATATATATATAGAGAGAGAGAAAATGTAAGGTGGGAGCGAAGCACTCGGGTCTATGTATTTGCGCAGACCATAATATAAAAATAATTGAGAAGTTTACCATATTAAAATGATTGTGTTTAGGGAGCGTTTTCATATACATTGAACAGTTAAATCTGATACACCATGGTGTGTCAGTGGTTAGACAGCATCGACCAGTTTGCATGACTTCGTTCATGGCAGTGCCATAATGGTCAACCAGACGACATTATCATCTACGTGGTTCCTCTTCCATTTCAATCGGGAAGAGCTTGGGATAACTTGTAAACGTAATAAAAAAAGAAACGTTTGGCAAAAGACATTGCATCGGCAGTTAACAGCTAAGGTCTTCCGGGTATTGTAAAGGAAGGAAGAAAACAACATTCTGCGAGCTATCGTTTTTATTCTTAATGTGTGTCAATTTCTCCATCGTCTAGAGAGAAAAAAAAACACTTCGTTTGTTCAGAGCAACAAAATATTGATTGTTATTATTAAAAAATCGTCAAAAACATTTCGGAAAAAAAGGGTGTCTCCATGCACCCTTTTGTCCCGTATAATGCACCCCAAAACAAAAAGTTCAGCGCACTATAGCCGAACAAGGGACCCCAAATTTTACGAGGGGCTAGATAACGGTGCGATATAGCTTATTCAATAGCTAAAGTACGCATCACAAACCACAGAAAAAAAACATTGAGTTTTCTCAGAAAGGCCAAGAAAACTTCGATTTTTTTTCTTTTGGTCAGTAAAACGTACATTAACTATTTTAATGAGTTGTACTACGCGACTATCAAGCCTCTCGTCGAAGGTAGTACTGTCAGGTCCACGCCAGTGTGCTGTGCGTCGAACTGAAGTTTTGGGTTGTATTATATGGGACAAAGAGTGTAAGAATACACCCTTTTTTTTCTAAGGAGTGTACCGTGATTAATCGCAAAAATGCGACCCGATTTTTTAGGCCAGCATAAACAAAATTTACATTCCAGAGAGCTGATACTCCGTCAGAATATGACTCTAGCCGGGGGGAGGGGGGGGGGGGGGGGGTAGGATGCGAAAGTTTTGAAACATGACCCTACCTGGTATCAACAATAAAAGGAAAATACAAAATTTTTCAATAAGCCGACGGCCAACTACGTCTAATTTCGTCAAGACAGGAAAGAGTATTGTGGGTGCCTGTGGTATTTATTTATCTTAAACTAAATTGACAAAAACTACGATATTTTTTTCTTGCTGACAAGATTCTCTACTAAAGTAAATACTGCAGACGCCCACAATATCTTTCTTGCTTTGATAAAATTAGGTTTAGGTGGACGTCGGCTTCTGAAGGAATTTTGACCCTCCCTTTAATTTCTTGATTCTGGTAGCGTCATATTTTAAAACATTCGCACCTTAACTCCGCTGTTGGCGACATATTCTGACCTAGTTTCAGCTTTCTTCAAGGCGTAGTGTTTCTATGAGGGCCAAAAAACCAGGTTTCATTTCTCGATGGATAGAGGTAAATAACTCTTAACGTCTGTTTGGGAGCCACACTTACCTGAACAAAAATATTCGTCTGTTTCGAAAGCTTCAAATATAGCTGCGGTTTATTCCTAATCAGAATCAGGCTAGATTATTTTACATGTCAAAACTTTTTTTTTTGCATATAAAAGTGATACAGATATACTTTGTTTGTGCCCTGTAACTAGGCACTCCAAGTAATAAACCAACCCCTCTGGGAAGCAACATGTATATCGAGTATGGTGATTACTCATGCAACACCTCAAGCAAACCGTTAACGGATATGTGTAAGTTACGCTATCATGTGCTACTATTATTTTGAGTAATTGTGCATTCTGTAAATGTATGACGGTCTGATTTAATGTTGTCTTCGCACGCAGTGAAGGCCGCAAAAGATGCTGTAGGAAGTGAAGCTGGATCTGCTGAACCAGTCGAAGGTGTAAATTACCTTGACTTCTACGTGGTGCACAACCAGCCACATTGCAATATCTTGAGGTCTCCCCTTCTCAAAGGAGGTGAGCCGGTTAATGCAGTACTTAATGCAATAATATTTTACATATGTACGAAAAGAATAATAAAATGGATATAGCCCATATCTAGTAATCAGAAACGAAATAAGGAATTGTGTATAAGCTAGAGTGCAACCGGTATTGAAGAACACACATCCATGTAATAGAAAAACTAATTTACTTTCTATTAAAGCTAATGTATCTGCACCAATTATGATACATATTCCTCCAAAGCCATGCTCTTAAAGCTCAAGTGAAAGAACCACAATTAGCAGTAATGATAGCATCAATAGGCTCAGTAAGCGTCAACAAGACTTGACGAGGTGGTCGTGATTGATGTGGGCCATAATATCCACCATGATCGCCTTCGTTGACTCATTTCTATCATGAGTCTGCTTGCTGACCTCCTTTTCAACATCTCCGCAGGTATAATAGTTCAGCAGGTTTGTGTCCGGGGAGTCTGGGGGCCTCATGGTAGCTGTGATGTGGTCATACGATCCTTCAGCCAGCCTCTTTTGTGACACAAAAGCGTTTGTCTGCAGGAGCAGAGTCTTGCTGGAAGAAGTACAGCCGTCAATGAGCAACATCATCAATTCAAGGCTTTATGAGCGTGTCTAAATAAGCGGGTAGCATCTGCTGAATGAGATTGGCGTGAAATGTGCGAGAACAGCAAGAACCGCTTGCAATCTTATACTAAAGCAGGCAAAACAATTTTATTTGTTGCATGACAACCGACAGAGATACCCCAAAACAGCGCCTCTAGTGATGCTTCTGTTTAACAAGGACATTAAATCTCCACTCTTATACGATACGTTACACGATATAATGCTGCGATGTACTGCTTTCTCGATAGTCGTATCTGATCTCAATGCCGATGTGCTTTACACATGCACAAGACATAGGTGGCAAATGAACCACTGTCCGGAAACCTGACGCCGTATTATGCCACCATAACCGTGTGTTCAATCGAACCTCTACTTCACAATCCGACAGATATAGGGTGGTAGTGGTACCTCAAGTTCCCTCGAAAGTGGCACGCGGAGTACGATGGTGACTAACCACGACTAAGGCTCGTGGTTACCACCTTCATTCTTATGAGGGACGGTGAAATCTATAACAAAATAAGCAAATGCTATTGCATTATAAAAATATTTCAACTTCTTAAAAACAAAATAGTTTTACAGACCTCTTTGAGGTATAGGTTCTGAATCACGCTTCATCCGCATTCAGGTTTTTTTAGCTAGAGTTTTGTGGCACTTCTATGTTCAGTTTATTGTTTAATATGACTACAAGACAAAGCAAGCCAGCTGTTTATCGATTTGTATTTTTTTGGCGTTGTGGCATTACATCGGTGTACTTGGACAAACGATTACCCAAGGAGCCAAATGACTGATTAGTGGCCGGGAACATTTCGGACGGCCTATGAGCTGAGGCCTCCAGTGATAGGAAAGGGTGAATTGAGTATTTTTATTGAGGAAATAAAGATATCTGTTTCACCTTACTCGAAATGGTTGCCTGAAGACTGACAGATGTTAATACTGAAGTTCTGAACATGGAGGATGTTCTTTTGGGTTTACATGCAGAATAAGTAGTGTTTAGAGCGGGTAAATCTGGAAAATGAAAGGGTTAAAAATTTAGCTGCCAAGAATATCCATATAACTGCTTTAGTGAGAAGAATCATTATAAAACTCGAACAATCTTCACAATATCAAAAGCACAATGAACTTAAATATTCAAACGTGTTTTCTATGAAACTTTCTTTTTGTCTATTTCTCATTTGTAAATGTTTTAATTAACATACACAACCGCAAACCTATGACGTTACCAGGTGAAGAAAAGTTCGGAAAAGTGTGCCGTGTGGCCCCATTGTTTACCGTTTTCTGGAGGCTTTAAAACAAATTAATGTGCGTCGTTGTTTTTTGTCAGGGCGCGGGGGGACAATCTGGATATATTTCCTCGGTTTCCTGTCTTTTATACAGTGCTTTTACTGCTTATACGTTTTTTATGTTTTGATATGTCATCATCAAGTAGTGTTTGTCATCTGTCAGATATTCATTTTGTTTGGGTCCTAAAGCACACTCAATTTGTACGCCCTTTCAAGTTTTGGTGTGCTACCAAAGCGAATCTCTGCGCCTGTTGACCCGGTCCCCGTGGCCAATGATCTCAAGCACCGTGCCTCACTACGTAGCCTTCATATAACGGAGGGGTACCTAAGAATATAAATGTATTCTTGCATTGGCATTCGAAGAACACAGCGGTTCATTTGCCAGCTTGCACCATACTTCCTGCTTCCCGCAAGCGAGGTGGTAGTTGCGTGCTTTTGGGGGAGCGGAGTCGCTGCCGCAGGGATTCGTTTTAGTACGAAACCGAAACTTAAAACGCATTCATATCCAGTATCTTTTCCAACACCGTAAAACGCTGCTCATGTCTTATAGTTCTGTGAAATGCGTTGATTTTTGTTTTGTTTTCCGGGAAGCTCGAATATTGTAATTGAAATCAGAGTTTGAAATTTAGTAATTATTAAGATGCTTCTTTAAATATTTCAAAACCTATTTATACTGAAGTTTATTTTTTTAAATATTCCTTCTGGCAGAGACTTATATGACATTAACAATGTTTTAATGTGAGATGCCTACCTTTCGCAGGAGGCATTACACAAACGTTCCTTGGCACGTGTTGTATACCTTCCCTTAATAAAGCCGTTATATTATTTATTGCCCATTAAGAGTCCCATTAGGAACATTACATTATGGTCGGGGAAATGTTCGCAATGATATTTAATTTCATCGCTTCTATTCCAGGATGCGACTTTTGGCTGAGGAAATCAGAGTTGCCAGGGGCGCTGGAACGCGCAGAAAGTTTTACAAAAAGCATTCCACCAAAAGTAGAAGACAGGCAGGCTGAGGAAAATCCAGAAACTGCAGCAGGAAGAGAAGACATTACGAACGAAAAAACGCCTAAGTTTGCAGAAGCCCTATTTAGAAGCCTTCCCACCGCTTGCCGCTATGCCTTCATATCCGCCTGTGGATATCCAAACGATATGATGTACGACAAGAACATATGCAAAAATACCCAAACAGAAGAGACTTCTTCGATTTCTGAATCGTGATGCCTATTCGTGTCCCAATTGTTGGAGGGCGCTGTCGTATGCGTCCAAAAACTACGGGGGAAAATATGCCGTTGCCTCTACTGTCTGGTGTGTGTTCGTAGAATAAAAAAAAATATTAGTCAAAGGATCTATTGATTTCGCCCAGTCTTTATTATAATAAAAATAATGCAAAAACTGAGAATATTGTACCTTGCCACTGTTTTTACTACAAATAAAATCACTCGTGCATGTACGGCGTTGTTAGGGACATTCTAATTTATGCCTTTATGCCAGTATTCAAGTGAACAGTGTTGGCGCTCAGCCTCCCAAAAGCTGGTCAGCTTAGCACGAACTAAAGTGATAGCTGAAGCGACTACACCTTTAATTTGATTCTGTATTTTAACAAGAAATTGTTCAGTGTGTTTCTAAGTTCAATATCAGAAGTAAAAGCATTGTGAACAATCTTAAAGATTAATCTAATATAAAAAAAAACTTTTTTTTATTGTTTTATGCTTTTTACCGTGCCCGTTTTCGCTTGAATTAAAAGGAAGTTTTGCGCAGTCATCATACGCATCGAAAAGTAGTTCTTACAGGATTTGGTTGTAGAAGCAAGAAGCGGTGCTTTTGGCGTTTGAAACGTCTTCTTCATAACCTAACGTATCTCTAGTCTAAGGTGCACCTATATATATATGTAATAATTATCTTCATAAAGGGGGAAATCAGTAATTTTTTGCGAGGAGGCGTTTTTTTTTATTACAAATATCGAGGTGAAAACGACTATAGGTGTGAAATGAAGATGTATCAAAGCCATCACATGCTCAATGTTCATGCAGTAACAAATTACTTTTGAAGTGCAATTGTACTGTATCGACAGATTTTAAAAATTAAACCGGACATATCCTTAGGCTGTCTTTACAAGTCGTCATATTCGCATAGAGACGTAGATCTAATTGTGCTCATACGTTTGTTAGTAACGATAGGTAAAATATTTATTAGAAATATACGTCAAGAATTGGTGGCTGAACCTCTGGAATAATCCTTCTGCACTTGAGCATATTATTTCCAAAGTAGTGGAGGAAAAACTTGCAGCATGATTATTCTCAGCACCTAATTCATTTCAAGCTTAAAAGAAAAAGTTTAAGGAAAAACACTACACGATCTTTTTTTGATTAAATCGTGTAGTCGTGCCCGAAGACTATGTCGAGTCTTCGGGCTTCGTTGACGACTAACGCGTGTGGGTCCGAGTCAAAAGCTTTCTTGACGTCAATCGCTACGGTTGGTTGCGCGGTTCGGGTTAATGTTCCGTATTACGACAGCCGATATGGGGGCGAGGCTCTCTTGCGTTCCGAGGCACGGTCGAAACCCTGTCTGGGCGGGGTGGAAGGCGACCGTAGATTCCAGATGCCATGCAATTTTTGCCAGTACCATTCGTTTTAACAATTTAAATGCGCATGTTGTTAGAGTGATTGGCCTGTAGCTGGAGAGTGCACCCTTGTCTTTGTTCGGTTTTGAAACCGGGGTGACGAGGGAGTGCTTCAATTTCTCGGGAAGTTTGCCAGCTTCCCCGGAGTCTGAACGGCCCTGTTTGCCTGTTGTTGTTGTTGCAGCTTGTGCAGTTCTCAGAAACTCTTGATGTTTTCCCAGATGTGATTATTGGTTTCCTGCAATGTGGGACATTCGCGGTCTGTTCCGAGGTGGCACTTCTTACATCCTTGGCAGAGGGCAGACATGTACAAATTACTCAAAAAAGGTAGTTAAGGTAAGTTACTGAGTATTGGCGCCAAAAGTGATTGGAGTAGAGTAGAAATTACGCATTCGTAATTGTAATTGAGTAAACTACTAACTACTGTAAAAAGTAGCGAGTTACTTTGAAGTTACTTTCGAAGTTACTTTTTTTTATTTTTGGGGTAGCAAAATAAACAGCAGTTTTGATCCGTGAAAACCCCGCGAGGCTAAAATAAATGCAGTCATTTTATGGCTTGCGTTTTCACCAAAATGTTTAATCACTCGCAGAAGCAATTGACTTTCGAAGTCCTTATCGGAGAGTTTTCTACTTTTCCTCCTAAAGAAGTTCCCAGCCAAGCTAAAAAGACGTTCCACCGATGCGCTGGATGGAACGGCAGCGCTGAATTTCAGAAAAAGCTGTCCAGGGTTGGGAAAGCGAGTGTCAGCATCTTCGGTGTCTATGACGAAACATGTGAGGTTAGCCTCGGCTAGAGAGTCTTTTATATATGCAAAAAAAAAAAAAAAAAAAAAAGATTTGCTTTTTTTTTTTTTTCGCAAAGTTTAGATTTTTATGATTGGCCCCTCTTTATTCCCACGACGTTCGGAGAGTGCGCTGAGCCAGTGCACCTGACCGTCAAGGGTTGAAGTCTCGCGCCACGACGATGAGATCATCCGTACGACTGCGCGTTTACTGGCGGTGCCAGTGGTACGCTACGGAAGAAAAAATATTTTTTGGTTGACCAAAAGATGAAACAAAGTATACTTTGCCGCTGACGCCGGGCCCAACAAAAGGATTTCCCAAAGGTTACTCGCAATCTTTGCCGGCCTTTACGATATCGGAAGGACGCGAAGGAATACGCGAACAAGCATCGTCGCTCGTAGAGTTGTAGCTTGAAGCGGGAAGTTGCTCCCATGAACGGATTATCCGTGTCTGCGTTTGTGGGCGTGAAAGTCCGGCTTTGGCAAAGGTGTATGCGCTAACGACGAGGCGTCCATGGGAACAGGTGCCCAGCTGCGAGGTCATTCTAGTGGCGCCTACCCGTGGAACGCCCAAACCGCTTCAGTCACAGCTTACTAAAGGCAGACGTGAAAACAACAACCACCCTCTGAGTGTCCCCGTCTTTCACGGTTGCAGGTGGAGGTGCGGCGCCTGCGTGCATTACCGGATTAGGTCAATACCCGACCAAGGCTTGTTAACCATCTGTTCCTGCGTTCGTGCACGCCGGTGTTCTGTTTTGGCTGCTCGTCACCACATTGGCCCAAGGACGCTTGTGGGAACAGAATGTGAGGGGGCCCCCTGCTCGAAAATGACACTTCATCTGCCGGCGTTTAATTTTTGCGCTCAAACCTTTGTAGTGAGACAAATTAGCACTAGATTGCGAAAGTAGTTAGTAACTTGAGTAGAAGTTACCTAAAAAATGTAGTTAAGTTAAACTACTAATTACCCAAATAAAGTTGTAATTGAAAGTTACCAAGTTACTCGGAAAAGTAGTTAAACTACAGTAGTTTGAGTAGAGTAGTTGAACTACGTCCAAGTCTGGCAGAGGGTGTAGTGTCGGTACACCCAGGTCCCTGGGCCGGGTCCGTTGGTTTTAAATGGTCGCTTCCTCATATAGGGCAGAGTGCTGTATGTGGGCATATATCGAACTTGTGTCCTAGACGGTGGCTGTTCCCGCAGGTTACTTCTTTTAATTTAAACGGGAATACGCGCATGTTCCTCTTGTTCCGCGATCCGTAAATAACGGATCGCGTCTTCTCTCCGTCCAACGTAAGGACTGCCGTGTGTGACTTGCCAAGTCTTCGAGCGGCCACCACGGGAGGCTTTTCTGACTCAATTTTCGAATTAAGGGTGTCGTCTTGCGGGTCCTCTTCCTTGGGATATACGTCGTAAATGACACCCTTGCTGTGTGTATCCCCATATGTCCTGAAGACTTATTTGGGAATCTTCCCTTTTTTTTCTTTCACTGCCGATCTCTGCGATCTTCTCCAGGGTCTCGTATAACTCTTTCGAATCCGAGCTGACCAAAATCGTGTTAGGCGATTACATTCATTGCGAGAGCCTTGGGGTTGTGAGTGCCCGTGAGGTGCATTTTAAGTTCTGGAAATAGGGGCTTGATCGAGATTTGCGATTGCGTCAAAAAGATTCGATACTCGTACTGACATCGCCGGGTTGACTTGGCTTTCTCGGAAGTTTGCTGTGTCGGGTCCCCTCGGGCCTGTTTCCTTTTCTTTTAGAGCGCAGCTCTTAGGGGCCCGTTTCCGGCTTGAGCGGCGTCGCCGTCGCCGTCGGCGTAACCGCGCTGTGCATCATGGGAAATTTCCCATAATGCACCGCGCGAGCCCCCCACCGGGGTCACGTGACCTCGTGAGGGGACACGTGACCCCCCCCCGAGGTCACGTGACTCCCCTGAGGTCACGTGACCCCCTCCTCGAGGTCACGTGACCTCGGGGAGGGGTCACGTGACCCCCGCCGATGTCGCGTGACCCCCGATGATGTCATCGTCACTGATGACGTCACCAGCATCCACATCGTCATCGTCATCATCACTGATGACGTCACCGGCATCCACATCGCCATCGTCATCATCACTGATGACGTCACCGGCATCCGCATCGTCATCGTCATCATCACTGATGACGTTACCGACATCCACATCGTCATCGTGATCATCACTGATGACGTCATCAGTGACGTCACTGATGTCGTCACCGGCATCCGCATCGTCATCATCACTGATGACGTCACCGGCATCCGCATCGTCATCGTCATCATCACTGATGACGTCACCGGCATCCACATCGTCATCGTCATCATCACTGATGACGTCAACGGCATCCGCATCGTCATCGTCATCATCACTGATGACGTTACCGACATCCGCATCGTCATCGACATCATCACTGATGACGTCATCAGTGACGTCACTGATGTCGTCACGGGCATCCGCATCGTCATCGTCATCATCACTGATGACGTCACCGGCATCCGCATCGTCACCGTCATCATCACTGATGACGTCACCGGCATCCACATCGTAATCGTCATCATCACTGATGACGTCACCGGCATCCGCATCGTCATCGTCATCATCACTGATGACGTCACCGGCATCCACATCGTCATCGTCATCATCACTGATGACGTCACCGGCATCCGCATCGTCATCGTCATCATCACTGATGACGTCACCGGCATCCATATCGTCATCGTCATCATCAATGATGACGTCACCGGCATCCGCATCGTCATCGTCATCATCACTGATGACGTCACTGGCATCCGCATCGTTATCGTCATCATCACTGATGTCGTCACCGGCATCCACATCGTCATCGTCATCATCACTGATGACGTCACCAGCATCCGCATCGTCATCGTAATCATCACTGATG